TCCTAGATCATATAGTACTACATTTACTGGGAGGAAAACACATTTAAGTGGATCTTCAGAGTCTGTGTTGTTCGAGGAGTCAGCAGTATACGCAGTCAATATCAGAGCACTTAAATATGTTAAACAAAGATTAACAGATATAAAGGGAAAAATAAACAGCAGTGCAGTAATAGTAGGAGACTTCAATATTCCATTTTAGCAGTGCATAGATCATCAGGACAGAAAATCAATAAGGAAACAACAGATTGAAATATACTTTAGATCAAATGAATCTAACACACATACACAGAATATTCCATCTACTAGAATACATAATCTTCTCAAGTACACATGGAGCATCCTCCAGGATAGATCACATGCCACGTCACAAACAAGTCTTAAATTTAAAAAGACTGAAATAATGTATCTTTTTTTTTTACCACAATGGCATAAAACTAGCAATCAATAACAGAAAGAAAGCTGGAAAAATTAACAGATGTGTGGAAATTAAAAAAAAACACACTTCTGAACAACCAATGGATCAAAAAAGAAATCAAAGGGGAAACAAAAAAAAATCTTAAGTGAAAATGGAAATACAACATATCCAAAATTATGAGATGCAGCAAAAGCCCCTTTAAGAAGAAAGTTTATTACAATAAACACCTATATTAAGAGAAAAGAAAGATCTCAAAAATCTGACTTTAAACTTCAAGGCATTATAAAGAATAAATTAAGCCCAAAGTAATCAGAAGAAAGTAAATAACAAAGATCAGAATGGAAGTAAATGAAACAGAGACTACAAAAATGATAAATATATCAGTGAAACTAATAGCTGTTTTTTCAAAGAGGTAAAATTGACAATCTTTAGCTGAACTACCCAAGAAAAGAAGATTCAAATAAATAAAATTAGAAATAAAAGAGGAAACTTTACAACTGATACTGTAAAAATACAAGGGATCACGAGAGACTATTATGAACAATTATATGCAAACAAATTAGATAATCTAAAAAAAAAAGGATTGATTCCTAGATACATATAACCTACCAAGACTGAATCATGACAAAACAGAAAATCTGAAAAGACCAATAATGAGTAAGGAGACTGAATCAGTAATCAAAACTCCCAGAAAAGAAGCCCAGGACCAGATGGTTTCACTGGTGAGTTCTACCAAACATTTAAAGAAGAATTAATACCAACCTTTCTCAAATCCTCCCAAAAAAAAGGAGAGAGAACACTTCCAATATCCCTGATGAACACAAATGTGAAAATCCTCAATACAATACTAGCATATTAGAAGAATCACATACCATAATCAAGCACAATTTATCCTTGGGATGCAAGAATAGTTGAGTATATGCAAATTAGTAAATGTGCCACATCACATTAACAGAATGAAGGATAAACATTATATGATCATCTTAATAGCTACAAAAGAAATTTGACAAATACATGATAAAAAAAACTCTTTCTCAACAAATTAAGTGTAGAAGGAATGTAGCTCAACACAATAAAGGCTATATATAACTAGCACACAGCTAACACCATGTTCAAAAGTAAAAACTTGAAGGCTTTTTCTTAAAATCAGGCATAAGACAAGGGTGCCCACTCTTGCCACTTTTATTCAACACAGTACTGGAAATCCTAGCCAGAACAGTTAGGCAAGAAAAAGAAATAAATGTATCTAAAATGAAGAAGTGGAAGTAAAACTGTCTGTTTGCAGATGACATGATCTTACTTTATATATACAGAAAACCCTAAAGATTCCATCAAAAAGTGTTAGAACTAATCAGTGAATTCAGTAAAGCTACAGGAATTGAAATTAATGAACAGAAATCAGTTGCATTTTTATACACTAAAAATGAACTACCTGAAAGAGAAATTAAGAGAACAATCCTATTTGCAATAGCTTCAAAAACAATAAAAATAGGAGTGAATTTAAGCAAGGAGGTTAAAGATCTTTACACTGAAAATTATAAGCTACTGATGAAAGAAACTGAAGATTCAAATAAATGGAAAGATATCCTTTGTCCTTAGGTTGGAATATTGTTATTAATAAAATGTCCTTACTACCCAAAGTGACCTACATTCAATGCAATCCCTATCAAAATTCCAATGGCATTTTCACAGAAACAGAAAAAAATCCTAAAATTTCAATTGAATTACAAAAGATCTCAAATAGCCAAAGCAATCGTGATAAAGAGGAACAAAGCTGGAAGCATCACACATTTGACTTCAAACTATGTTACAAAGCTATGATAATCAAAACAGTAATGATAGTGGCATAAAAACAGATGAATAGAGCAATACTCAGTTGGTAAAGAATCCGCCTGCAAAGAAGGAGACCCCGGTTTGATTCCTGGGTCAGAAAGATCTGCTGGAGAAGGGATATGCTACCCACTCCAGTACTCTTGGGCTTCCCTTGTGGCTCTGCTGGTAAAGAATCCACCTGCAGTGTGGGAGACCTGGGTTCAATCCCTGGGTTGGGAAGATTCCCTGGAGAAGGGAAAGGCTACCCAATCCAGTATTCTGGCCCTAGAGAAGTCCATGGACTGTATAGTCCATGGGGTCGCAAAGAGTCGGACACGACTAAGCGACTTTCACTTTCAGAGCAGTGGAACAGAACAGGGGGCCCAGAAAGAATTCCATGTACCATATATATGGTCAACCAGTCCTTTATAAAGAGGCCAAGAACACACAATGGGGAAAGGACAGTCTCTTCAATAAACAACCTTGGTAAAACTCAATGACCATAGGCAAAAGAATAAAACTGGATCACCACTCACAAAAATTAACTCAAAATGGATTAAAAACTTAAACATTAAGACCTGAAACTGTAAAATATTTAGAAGAAAACATAAGGGAAAAGTTCCTTGACATTGGTCTTGACAATGATTTTTTGGATAAGACACTAAAAGCAAAGGCAACAAAATAAAAAACAAACAAGTGGGACTATACCAATTATTAATAAAAAGTTTCTTCACAGAAATGGAAACAACAAAGTAAAAAGGCAACCTACAGAATGGGAGAGAATATTTTCAAATCATGTATCTATTAAAAGGTTAATATCTAAATATGTAAGAAACTCACATAACTCAATAGCAAAAAACAAATAATCTGACTACAAAAATGAACAAAAGCCCTGAATAGGCATTTTTCCAAGAAGACATACAAACGGCCAACAAGTATGTGAAAAGGTACTCAACATCACAAATCACCATAAAAATGCCAATCAAAGCCACAATGAGATTATCACCTCATACCTGTTAGGATGGCTATTACAAAAAAAAGATAAAAGAGATGACAGATGTTGGCAAGGATGTAGAAAAAAGGACACCTTTGTACACTGTGGTGGAAATACAAATTGGTAGAGCCATTATGAAAAACAGTATGGAGATCCCTCAAAAATTGAAACTAGAACTACCATATGGAAACAAACTGTTTACTGAGGTATGAATGGATAAAGAAATTGTGGAATGGAATATTGTGCACCCAGTCATGTACGACTCTTTGTGGCCCCATGGACTGTAGCCCACCAGGCTCCTCTGCCCATGGAATTTTCCAGGCAAGAATACTGGAGTGGGTTGACATTTCTAACTCCAGGAATGGAACATTACTCAGCATACAAAAGAAAATTCTGCTCTTTTAGACAACATGGATGAACCTGCAGGATATAATACTAAGTGAAATAGGCTGGACAGAGAAAAACAAATACTGTATGATCTCACTAACCGTGGAATCTAAGGGGGAAAAAGGTTTGACATATGGAAACAGAGAGTAGAATGTCAGTTCTCAGGGGCTAGGGGATCGGAGAAAAGGGAAGATTTGCTCAAAGGATATAAATTTTCAGTTATAAGATGAATGAATAAGTTTCGGGGATCTAGTATAGAGTATGCTTATTTAACTTATATGCAGAGTACATCATGAGAAATACTGGGCTGGATGAATCACAGGCTGAAATCAGGATTGCTGGGATAAATATCAATAACCTCAGATACGCAAATGACACCACCCTTATGGCAAAAAGTGAAGAGCCTCTTGATGAAAGTGAAAGAGGAGGGTGAAAAAGTTGGCATAAAGCTCAACATTCAGAAAACTAAGACCATGGCATCTGGCATTTGCAATCACTTCATGGCAAATAGATGGGGAAACAGTGGAAACAGTGGCTATTTTGGGGGGCTCCAAAACCACTGCAGATGGTGAGTGCAGCCATGAAATTCAAAGACGCTTACTCCTTGGAAGGAAAGTTATGACCAACCTAGATAGCATATTAAAAAGCAGAGACATTACTTTGCCAACAAAGGTCCATCTAGTCAAGGCTATGGTTTTTCCAGTGGTCATGTATGGATGTGAGAGTTGGACTATAAAGAAAGCTGAGCACCGAAGAATTGATGCTTTTGAACTATGGCGTTGGAGAAGACTCTTGAGAGTCCTTGGACTGCAAGGAGATCCAATCAGTCCATCCTAAAGGAGATCAGTCCTGAGTGTTTATTGGAAGGACTGATGTTGAAGCTGAAACTCCAACACTTTCGCCACCTGATGCGAAGAACTGACTCATTTGAAAAGACCCTGATGCTGGGAAAGATTGAGGGCAGGAGGAGAAGGGGATAACAGAGGATGAGATGGTTGGATGGCATCACCAACTCAATGAACATGAGTTTGGGTAGGCTCCAGGAGTTGGTGATACACAGGGAGGCCTGGCGTGCTGCAGTTCATGGGGTTGCAAAGAGTAGGACACAACTGAGCAACTGAACTGAACTGAACTGAATGTAGAGTATGGGGACTATAGGTAATAATACTATATTGTATACTTGAAATACGCTAAGAATAAATCTTATGCATTATCACCAGAAAGCAAACAGACAAAACTTCTTAGTGCAATGATATATGTATAATTACCAAGATTTAAATGTACAACTGCTGTGCCCTGTTAGGGCTACACTTTACTGTAAATCAGTCTTCCTAAATAATTTTTAATATACCAACTTCAGATTCTATGTGTATGTTTTTCTGACATCATTACCTGAATTGCTGGTCTAGCTTTTCAGCCACAAAATCCTGTCTCTCTTTTTCTTTCTTCTCTCTTAATAGTCTTATTTTATCTCTCATTCTATCTTTTTTCTCCTCAATTGTTTCTTCTTTCAATTGCATTTCAGTAAAATACTCATTTTCTTCTGATGCTAAAAGTTCACGTAACCTAGGTTCACAAAACAAAATGACAACAACAAGCAAAATAATTAAAACTGTCATGCTATATGCACCATTTCACTAATTGATTTTTATTTTGTTAAATTCAATTTCAGAAGTATATGTTCAGTCATAAATTTTGTAAGAAGGAAAGGTCATTACAGCACTCCATAAAATGAGTTGTCACCTAAAGCAATAGAGACTAATCTATGCCACATTTTATTTGATCATGTACAGATGAGATATGCGATCTGTATTTCAACAAAAAAAGCAAAATGAGCAAGATTTTCATTATAACGACAAAATATGATACAATATGTTCTTTTGATTTCTATCAATAGGTTATCACAAGTGAAAATAAAAATAAGCTATTGGTTTGGTAGGAATAAGAATAGCTCAGCCATGATCCTTACTATAAAAATTCACTTGATTTTTGATTGGTCACTCTCAGACTCTAGTTTCAGGAATGTCTCAGAGTCTGGATTAGCCAGTTTTTAAGCCTTACTTATTTCGTCTTTCTTCAGTGTTGATGATAAACCCTTGCATGGCATCTGTGACTCTTGCTTTCACAAGACTGTCCACAAACTTTCGGTCATTGTGCTGGTCCCACTCAGTTTTCAAGCGATCCCGCTCGAATGACTTAATGGAGGCCAAAATAGCATGATGTTTCTGATGACTTTGTTGGATTCTTTCCAGATGATGCTCAGCTCCTTGGCCTTTGGGAGGCTTGGCTCTCTGGAACAACAACAACAAAAAGCAAGTATCACTTATGATAGACCCAAAATCAACTGCATATTTTCAATTAATCCACCAATACTCGTATTAAACAAAACTTGGTATATAAAACTAATATATCCTGCTATAACTGTAAACAACTTAAGTGTCTAAGATGTAACTTGTTTGATTCTTTGAAACCTGTACCTAAGATGTCATCAAATCAGTCTCAAATACTTCTCAAATGTCATTTAAATAAAAGTTCATGGAATTATGGAAGTTAAAATTTTGAATGGGACTCCAGAGATTAGCTAATCAAATCAGAGACTTAAGTTATTTGCCCAAAGTGCTCTAAGTAGTTAGGGCAGAAATGGGTAGAACAAGAATTAAAGGTCTTCTAATTCCTGACCTTAATCTTGCCACCTACTATCCCACCTTGCTTTTCAGGGCTCTGACAACATAGTTACCACCATCAAAATTCTTTCAATTAAAATAAACTACTAAGTATATAGGATATACACAACAAGTTTTGACAGTGAGATATCCTTTGCTAAGAAGGAAGCAAGGAAGACAGAAAGGGAGGAATGGAAAGAAAGAAAAGAAAAAAAAAACTAATGGCAGAATTTGATTCCTATTTCTACTGTCCCCAGAAGTTTAATGCAAGAGCTGTGATCCTGACATTCTGGGATAACTTGAATTTCTGTAAACATGTTCATTTTATACAAACTTTCACCAAAAAGTTGGAAATGCATACACCATTGTGAATAAATATTGACACATTTGCTAAAATCATACAGACTATATCTTTTTTATTTCTTCATTGCTACCATGAAGCCTGCCTACCAGCATCAAGTTCTCAATATGAATGAAGAGGAAAAATGAATGAATGAAACTGTTCATGGGTGGGCTTGATGTGACTCCTGTCCCTCCTGGGGCCACCATGAAACCCATGTTTTTGAGCTTTGTATTTTCAGCCAGGTTTATCAAGTCACTCTTAGGTGAGAAGTCAGACTCTGGTGTGCTGATGCACCATAACAAAGGCTTTAACTCGTTGCAGAGAGTCAGTCTGATCATTTACACTGAGAGAATCATTGTCTGGATTACCAGAAGACTGGCATTGAAACTTGGTAAAGGAGTCTCTAAGGAAAGGAAATCAACATTTGAAGACAGCCTCATGACAAGATTCAAGGTTCAGGCTATACATATGGGTGCCTAGAATAGTTGAACAAGATAATACAAAGCTGAGGTAGGTTGGAGACAGAAGGTGATGGCGAAGGTTACATCATGGAAAGTAGCTAGCTCATACTGAAATTATTTAAAGCCTAGATTTAGTTAACAAACTACTGTTCTCTAATATGTATGGCATCCTATGAACACAGATTCAGTGATAACAAAGCAGAGTTGGGTCAAGGCTGCACCCTGAGCAGGACACACTCAGGCTCCGAGTAGACAGGCGGGCTGAGAGCAGGAACCAAGTGCCAAGGCCATCAGGAATCAACCGTCTTAAGTCATCAGGGCAAAAGTCAGGCTCTGAGGCACATTTTGACTAAAGAGGAAATAGCAGTGGAGGGCAGCGAGAAACAGACTGAACAGTAGCAAGGAATTAGGAAGCCCTTTAAGGCTGTGGCATCCTGGGTAGGAAGGACTTTGTGGTCAGGGAGGACCCCGTCTCTGGATGAATAAAGTATGATCTGGAGTTCCCTAACAAGATGGTGCCAATCCATGCAGTCTCAGCATTATGTGCTCAAAACCTGTACTGTTTAACAGAAAAATAATATAAACCAGATCTCCAATTTAACATTGATGCAGCTGTATTTTAAAAAATAAAGAGAAACAGGAGGAATTAATTTTAATATATTTTTATTTAACCAATATATCCAAAATATTATTATCTCAATACGTGACTCTAGGCATATTACAAGTGCTCAAATTTGTGGCCACCATACTGGACATTGCAACTCTTAAACCATGCTAAAATCAAAATAAAGGGTTTCACAACTACCCTGTACTTTCAAGGTCACTGAAAGCTTTTGTTACTGTAACATCTCAGATCAGTTTCTACTATTACAGGTCAATGTCTTAAAGAATAACATCTTACAAGACTAGGTTTGAGTCTGGCCTCTACTGATAACTGTGTGATCTTGAGCAAGTTACTTAACCTCTTTAAGACTCAGTTTTCTCACCTGTCAAAAAGAGCAAAACAAATAGCTCTCTTAAAAAAATTATTTCAAGAAGTAAATAACTAGGTCCCTAGGAGGCACTCACCAAACAGCTGCTCCTTTTGCTGTTTCATTACTTCAGACATTACATATTTCACCACCTTCTCTTGAAGAAATTGTTTAGCATTCAAGTCTCACCTCTGGTGGTTTTAACTCTTCTCCCATCACAACTCTACAACCTCTAACATCCACACTTCTTATCACACTCTGACATCTGAGATACACCAGCGCTGACCTTTTCCCTTTCCTCTTTCTTCTTCTGTAAACATAAAATATTCAGTAGGCCTGCTTCTCTGGTTTGGTGGTAATTTGGTGGAATAGAAATCCTTATTGGTTTCCGACACAAGGAATGTCACCTGACCAGTAGCCCAGCTGAGCTCAGGGTTCAGATACAGAACCCAAAGTACATCCATTACTGTCCCTCATAAAGAAAATAATAATCACCTTGAACCCTACAGACTGTAAAAGACTCCAGTCTACTCATTTCCAAACCCAGATCCTACAGTCCCTGTACCTAAAGAAGAGGGAGCAGGTCTATAAATTAACTGACAACTGCTTTGTGCATTACAGGGCACAATAAAACTGTATTTTTCATGGTCTCTGCTCTTTCTTCCACAGTGTGCTAACACAGACAATACGGCACACCGTTATCAACCGTGCTGGCACACTGCGTTAATCTTTAATGGTTTTGTGCGTGAGCGAGTTGTTTCTGCAATTAGATAGCAACTTGAAGGCAAGGATCAAACTTTCAGAGAAAGCGAAATCTCCCAGGGCCAATGTATTCACCCCTGTACCTTCCACAGAGTTGTGCACACAGCAGGGACTCAAGTGATACCTCTATCGTTGCTTAACTACACATGGAGGTTTTCTAGCCTGTGGAAACTAGAGTGAGAAGCAAAGGAATGCAGGTGCGTGGACCAACTGTCCGAGGTTCCGAGCGGCGCTCGGCAAATTCTGCAGCACACAGTGTTCCCCTGGCCTCCTACCACCACCACTGCCTTAAAGGCAACCAACCTCCTATTCCCAGGCCTGCAAGTATATTTCTGTTATAGTTGAGTCAGCAAAGGAAGGGCCCTAAAACCACTCAAAACCCCCATAGTCCAGCACTCTTCAACAGACGGTTTTCCTAAGCGTACAGAACTAGTCCCGGCCGTACAGCTGAATCACTGCCAGTCCAGACCCCAGATTTCCTGCCACCTGACCCAGCGTCCTTTCCTTGACTCACACACTCCGCATTTCAAGGGCACGACCTCTTTTAAAAGTCTTGCAAGATCTTCAAGCTTCAAGATCTCCAGTGGTGATTCTCCAAATACATAAACTAAATACAACCGACGCGGGGAGGAAAAGGGTAGGGAGGGACGAAAAGGGTAGGGAGGGACGAAGTACGAGAGCTTTTAGGCAAGAGACCTTTTTCTTCCCTCATTCAAAATTCAAACTACTGCCTCAGGCATCTGCTTCCCTTGAGAGAACCCCTACTGGGTGCCAAGGTTGGGTTGGGTCCTGAGATGGGGGAAGATACAGAAAACGGTAGGATCCCAAACACACATCCGTGCTTACCACGATCACCACTTTGGGAGTGGGCCCCTTAACCTCTCTCTGTACGATGCCAAACCGCTGGCTGTACATTTTGGAGCTCCCTCGGGTCGGGGGCGGTGTCCGCCGCGGTTCCCCAACCACAGGTACCAGCGGGACGAGCTTGTGGGATGCACAGGTCTGGTTGCCAGTGTTGCGCCTCGGGGGTCTAGGGACAGGTGAATGGGACGGAAGTTGGCCCCGTTACCATGGTGACTATAGAAACGGGCACTCGCAACTTCCTCTCGGAGCGGAAGAGCTGAGTCTGCGCAGTCCTCACCCCGCCCTTGGCCAGGCCTCCCACCAACTTCGCTCCCTTACTGCTAGCAGAAAAAAGCCTCCTTAACCCGAAGTGAAGTCGAAGATTTAATTACATTCCAATTGATTTTGCTATTTATATCCTGTAATGTCTAAAAGCATGAGAAAAGTTAGCGGACACTTTGTAGGATGGTCAAATTTTGAGACCATCTCTAAGCTAACCTTCAGGGAAATCATCACATGACAACCTTATTCGCGTAGTTCTTTACAGGAATTTAAAGGTATTTTCACACATAAAGCCTTTCAGTCTCACAAATACCTGACTGATGGAACAGCGGGTATTATCCTCATCATACTGCTAAAACAAGCTAAGAGAGCCTAACTGGTTTGACAGCTAACCCAACCGGTAGTGACAAATTTAATAAAACCAGGAAACCAGAGCTTACACTTGAGGAACCCTAGGATGGGGGGGCAGCGGCACGATCTGACTGGGCACAATAAAGACCAGGGCCAGGACGTGGATCAGAATTTCGGTGATCAGGCTCTGGCATTCTGGATCCCAGGCAGAAAAAAAACACAAGTGAGGAAACCTAAAATGGGCCCTCAGCACAGGTGGAGACTACAGCTGAACTTCGCTCAAGAGCAAACTGGTGAGTGAGTGAAAGTCGAAATCTTGCCCGACTCTTTGCGACCCCATTAACAATACAGTTCATGGACTTCTCCAGGCCAGAATACTAAAGTGGGTAGCCTTTCCCTTCTCCAGGGGATCTTCCCAACCCACGGATCGAACCCAGGTTTTCCGCATTGCAAGCGGAATCTTTACCGAGCCACAAAAAGTGGTAGGTAATACCTAAAAGTCAAATGACACTTTGGTACTTCCTGCAATGGGAAGAACACAGAACTTTTAACAGGAAAAAAAAATTAGCACCTAGTAGGTCACTGACGTGTAATAACAAAAGCACAACTAGTACTGCGTATCCCAATTTAAGACCGCAATTTACTATAAATCAGCATTCCCTAATCATTTGTAATCCGCCCACTTCGGATTTTGCATGCGGCATGTTTCTAGGTTTGGACTCCATTTCCTGAATTGTTCGTTCAGCCTTTCAGCCACAAAATAACGTCTCTTCTCTTTTGAACTTTCTTTTAATAATTCTCATTTTTGTCTTTTATCTCCTATAATGCTTCTTCTTTCAACTGAAGTTCGGTAAAATACTCATTTTCATTTACTGCTAAGAGTCTACGTAGCCTGAAACAAAAGAAAGAAAAGAAATTAGACGATCGTCTCCGCTCCCTGAACGGGGTCCTGAGGGCTAGTTGCTGGATCTTCAATCCCCACGGGTGCCTGGCCCGCTGGCTGATCTGGTCTGGTGACACCACACCCTCAGAAGGGCGGTGACGTCCTCAGCCTAGGGGCGGGGTTTGGTAAAAGCCAGATTCTCGGGCGCCCGTTGGGAACCTCCGAGGTCCACAGCCTGGAGGGTCCCATCAACGTGAATTTTCGGCGACACGGGAAGCGGACTCTCGGCGACACCCGGCGGCCTTGGAACGTCCCGGCGTCGGTCCTGAGCAACTCGCGCTGCGCCCTCACCCCGGGCGTGTCCCGTAATTTAATCCCGCTTCGGTTTAGCCCGCGGAGCCACTGTGAAGAGGGGAGTCGGCTTCCCTCTGCGATGATTCTGGACCGCCTCGGCCCAGGGGAGGCCACGCCCCAGGGACAGGGAGTTGAGGGGCAGCGTCTCTCCAGCCTGGCCGGAGGACCAGGGTCCAGGCGCCAGCGCCCCCTGGTGGGCGTATTCAGAGGGTGGCGGGACCGGCCCTGGCACGACGACCAAGTCTCAAACTCCAGGGGGCTCTAGAAGTGATTCACCCAAGATCCTTGAACAGAACCTGACCTTGATCTTGCTACCCACTTTCTATACTAGTTTCTCACAGGCAGTCTATCAGCACTTAAGCACCATTAAGATACACCCCCCCCAAAACACTAAGTATATATAAATCAGTAAACGGGACAATAAAAATCATTTTAAAATAATTTTAAAATAGAACAGCATAAACTATATTATTTCCAAAGCCTATTGTGCCCCAACAAGGTCACACAAGGGCTGTCCTCCCAACAGTTTCCTGAATTCTGTATTTTCACCATTAAATTCCACGATAAAGTTGGAAATTCATCATTTGTAAATACATATTGATGTATTTAATAAAACTGCATGGACTATTATCTTTTTCATTCCTAAATCTCAGTATTAAGTACAGTGCCTACCATGGGTCAGGCTCTCGATACCTGAATGAATGACACAAAAATAGCTGAGACCAGCAAGTTTTTTCTGGATGGGCTTGGCAGAATTTCTGTACTTGCTGGGGTCACCATGAAATCCATGGTCTTCAGCTTTGCATTTTCAGCAACGCAGCTTTACCAAGTTATCCTCAGGTGAGTTGTGAGACCCTTAAGAGCTGATTCATGGCAGGGTGGCTTTGTAACGTGTCACCTTGACTAGGCTACGTTTCCCAGTATCCCCTTCCCTGCATGCTTCCAGTTAGGACAGGCCACGAGAGATTGTGCGTGGGAACTGGAGGGCAGATGCAAAGCAGCAGCACACTCGGAAGGTTGCTGCAGGAGCACCAGGCACTGTTGCAGTTCACACATGTCATTTATCTGCTGGCTCACCTCGTTGGTATGGGGCAACAGTCAGGCCTGCAGCCAGGCCTGCAGCTGCTCCACCTTCCCCAGGATCTTCTTTCAGCTTTTCTAATTCCTGGACCAGATGCATATTTAACTCTGTGATGAAGGGCACCAGCTTCTTCTGCAGGACACCCACGTCATCGAAGTTGGAGGTGGTTGAGAGGCTGACATGGCTTCCAGGCCATCCTTGCGGTTTCCAGCTCGTGCTCGTGGGCGTGAGTGTGTCCTCCGTCTCCCACATTTTACATCCATCTTCCCTTCCCGATTGCCTGCCCTGCAGACTTCAAGCTCCAGCATTAGATGCAAAGACAACAGCCTTATACAGACTGTTCAACCAGCTCCCACAATTGCATAAGATCAAATCACCTACAATAAATTCCTTAATATACATATTTATATATACATATACACATATATAAAATCTTTATATTAGTAGTGCTGCTTTTCTGATTGTATCTTGACACACACGGTAACCAGACTTTATCTCATGAGTCAGAATGCTATTCTCAAATTACATTTAGGGCATCACTGTCAAAATACCACCAGAATATGAGGATTGGGTGGTTGGATCCTGGGAGGGAACAGAACAGTATAAGAAAATTATCCAGGTCTTGACTCTGGCTGAAATAAGTAGGGTGAGGCAAAGGAAGGAGCAGAGAAGGGGGCAGAGGGCTGTAAATGAGTTAAAGTAGAGCAGCGCTCACTCCACCTCTGAATTCTCTCAAGCTGCGAGGCTGGGACTACAGTAAGCAAGGGAGGCACATAGGCTACAAACTCAGGAGGCCGGCACTCAGTCCCAGCCCCGTAAAGCTAAGTAATGAATCACACATGTAATCTTTTTGGCACTTTATGAAGAACTGGAAAGTGAGGCAGGGCTGAGCCAAGACTGGCCCTTAGGCGGGACTTGAAGCAGGAGCTCAGACTCCTAGAAGACAGGGGCTGAGTAGAAACCAAGTTCAAAGGTCATCAAGGGACAAGGGAGGTGAGTTGTGAGGAAACAGGAGCCAGGCCAGGAGCTTTCATTCTGAAGACTGCTTTGGCTGAGGGTAGGGAGTGACGGTAAGTATCAGCCGTCGGGAAAGATGCCCTTTAGGGTTTGAGGAATCCTATGTGGCACCCAAGGCCTGGGAATAACGCAGTCTCAGGAGGCATGCGTGCTTTGACAAGGTGGCACGATCCACACTGTCTTGGTGTTTCCTATGCCACCCCAGGGGCAGCAGTTTGTAAGGGGTTTATTGTTATGCTTAGAAGAATCCACTTTTATCAGGTCGCTGGAAACTTGTTAATATGACACTATCACACACTACTGGATATAGGTTACAGATAACAGTTTAGTGGCTTAACTTAAAATCAAGGCTTTTACAACCTGGGCTTGATCTTGATCCTAGGCTCTATTGATACTAGCTGTTCGACACTGGACAAGTTATTTAGTTTCTCTGAATCTCATTTTCCCTTCTGCAAAAATGGGCACAATCAATGCCGTTCTAAAAAGATGTTTTTGAGGATTAAACCAGGTCCATGGGAGGAACTAAACGAATAGCAGTTCCTTTCCTCATTTATTCACATTACATTCCCAATACATTCCGAACTGCTGTCTCCCTGAGGAAATGTTTAGAGACACTACCAGGTCTCATCCAAATCCATTTAGAATTATGTATGATGATGGCTTGTTTAGGCCGAAGGTGGCTTTAATCACGTCGGCTCTCCCATCCCAGCTCCCCCATCTTTAATATCCACACTTCTTATGACACTCAGGCTCCTGGGGTTTGCACTGGTTGGAGGAGATGCATCAACTTTCTACTCTTTGTCTTCCTTTTCTGCTCATTTCCTCTATAAGCTCAGAGTACTGAACAGGCCTGCTCCTCTGGTTTGGTGGTAGGTTTTCCCAGTTCCTACTGACTCCCACACAAGCCCTGGCAATCCATCTATGGTCCAGCCTCTGAGCAGATCAGTGTTGTCTCTGATAAAGTCGGTCTGTAAATATCACCTTGAGTCCTACAGTCTGCAGAAGCCTCCAGTCTACTGCTTTCTACCTCCAGGTTTTTTAAGGTCCTTGGACCTAGAGAAGAGGGAGCAGGTCTGTATGTTGAATTAGGTTCCCTATGCAAAATGAAGCATCACAAAACCATTTCCTAATCTTCCATTTCCCCCTAATTATCCCTTCCCTCTCTTCTACAATCTTCCATTGCAGACAACATAGCACATCATTACTGTTCTGTTAATATGTAATGATTTCATGCATAGGGGAAATGGCTTCAATACTTGAATTATAAGCTCCCTGAAGGCAGGAATCCTATGTCTCCTGCAAGATAAGCCTCCCAGGGTCATTGATTCACCACTGTGTGCCCAGCAGGGTCTCAATCAGTACTTCAGTACTCGCCCAAGTACAGGTGGAGCAGTTTCTGGCCTGCAGACATTAGTCTGCAGGAATAAAGGAATCCAGGGGTTCAGGTCAACAGTTTACGTTGCCCGCCTGGGCTCCGTCAGGGCTCTCATCAGTCCTGCAGGAGACAGCATTACCCTAACCTCCTCCCACCAGCCCAGTCCTACAGTCCTCCCACCTCCCTATCCTTCCTTCCACTGCCACACCTGTAGGGACAGTTCTGTGCAGCAGCTGAAACAGTTAATGACCTCAACAGGCTCCAGAAAATCTCAAGAAACACAGCCTGATTCCTTCCACTGAGGATACTCCAGTTGTGTGTGGGCTCCAATCACAAGCCATCTCAGGACCAGATCTCCTGACCACCCCACACTGACCAGCCCACCCATTCATCTCTTGGAAACTCCACAGGCCTTCAAGACCCCAAATGATGATTCTCTAAATAAGAAATTATAAGTCTGACCCCTGTGGATTTTCTTAAGGATACGGGGGAAAAGCTTTCCTTATCTTCCCTTTTCTTTCCAATCTCAACACAGGGTACCAACTCTTCTCCTGCCATCAGCTCCTGTAACCCTCCTCAAGGAGAGCCCTGGCCCAGACCTCAGGAGAAATCTCTAAGGTCCTGCGCACATTCCATCACTGATGGTGACCAGAGCAGTCACATGGGGTCTTTACCTCCCACTATCCCATGTCAAAACGCTGACTGCTCTCATGACTCAGGGCCCACATCTGGCCAGAACCCCCCCTCCATCCCGACCCCTCACAGTGTGGGGCACACCTTGGCAACCAGACTGCTGTGTCCCGGAGGCGGGATCCACCCAGGCTGAAAATCTCCGTGATCTGGGGAAGAATTAACATCAGGGTCACCACGACTGGTGGGCCTAAAGCAGGGTCAGGACAGGGTGGGGTGTACCCCAGCACTGACCACGGGCGTGCCAGCCCCTCCTGCCTCCTCCTCTGGGGCCAAGTCAGAGGTGGAGACATCCTTGTTGTCCTCCTTGTCCTCCTCAGGGTCAGGTGGCTCTTGCTTCACTGATGGCAGGCCTGGGTCTACTGCCTGGGAGAGGCGGGAAATGGGCAGTTGTCAGAAGGGCAGGGCTGGCCTGAGGAAAGTGTCCCTACCAGCCAACCTGTCCCTGTGCTGACACTCCCATTCCGTCACACCTGAGCACAGAAAGACCATCTGTCTACAGACCTTTCCCATTCCTCACAGATTTCCATTTTTCTGTTAACTGGGCAGCAAAGCAGGCCACACTAGTTGCCTGGGGAGGGTGAGGCATCTGTCAGACAGGCGGGATAACTCTGTGAGAGGCTGTAATCAGCACACCTATTACTGTGTTCAAAGAACCACCATCATGGCTCCCCATCACTCTGCTCACAGACCACCCGTCACTGACCCCCACCTTGCTGGGGCAGCCGGGCAGCAATACAGGAGAAGTCAGGATGGCTGTGCCCGGTGTCCAGTCTTCCTGGGCATCCGCCTTCTCTTGCTTCACCTGGGGTAAGGCCACAACCCAACTCAGGCCAGGGCACTGGGCCTCCTGTGTGAAGGAGGATGGCAGCAGACTTGGTCTCAGTGTCCCTGCACGAGGCTGGGTGGGGTTGGGAAGGGCAGGAGAAGGCGGGACCCTCACCTGCAGCCGAGCTTCTGTGGCAGCTGAGGCTGGGCCAGGCACCGGGACGGGGCTGCTCGCACCCTCCCGTAAGAACACAAGGTCAGTGCCAGGTGGGGGCAGCACAAAGCCGCCACCTGCTTCCTCCTTCACGGGGGTCTGGGCTCGGTCTGGTTGAGCTGCGGATGTGGCCAAGGGAGGCTTCAGGGTCTGACCCAGATGGAGCCTTCGAGTAGAGCCAGGCCGCTTTCGACGAGGGTGAGCTGGGGGTGGCGATGCCCCATCTTCGGACTCTGCCCAGACACTTGGCAGGAGCCGCTTCTGTGAGGAGAGGTGGCATGTTATGGCCACCAGGTACAATACTACCCTGCCCTGATCGATCCACCCAACCCCGTTAGTCTCAGCAGCGAATTTCCTTATGGACAAGCCCCTCATCACAAAGGCTGTGAATCTCCTATTGGCAATAACAGTACCTCCCAGTTTCCTCATTTACCCCAGCACAACATCTGCTAACTGGTGGTAAACCCACTGCCCCACCCACCACTTTAAAGCTGCAGGACCCACCTGGCCTGTCCCCACTCACCCTCCAGGCCTGCCTGCCCCTCCCAGGCATCGAGTGGAAGGGGGCACGAGGGGGAGACTGGCACTATTCCTCCCACCCACCAGACCCTTCCTGCTACACCCACCATAGCAAACTGCAGGCACTGGCGCCAGCGACATTTCTGGCGCTTCTGGTTGCTGCCCCCAAATTTGGGCTTGTCACAGCAGAAGTCGCAGTGGCCACAGTCCATCCGCCGCAGGCAGGCTGCACAGGCCCCACACTTGCGGTTCTGCCGACGGTTTGTGTAAGGCTGCTGGGAACAGGGGGTTCGGGGGCTGTCACTAGGATAGTGACAGTGCTGTTCCTGTTACTCATCCACCAGCCCTGCTGGAGGGAACTGGTTCGACACTAGTCTTAGCCTGGCTCCCCACTAGTCACACCTCCGTGTCTGCGACTTTAGCACCAGGCAATATCATTGTACTGGAAGGCCCTTGATACCATGAGGACGGCGGCTGCTTCAACACGGTATCCACTGCTCTATCTGCTGGTCCCCCACTAGCTACCAAGATAACGTCTCTGACCCCCGCCTCCAGCAGAATTTTGCAGACGCTCCATTAGCTCCCATCACTGCGCCTGGTCATTCTATGCAGACTTCGGGCACTGTGCCAGCTTTTCCTCTGCAAGCCCCATCAGAGCGTTGGTTCATCTGACACCAGGTCCTGTGACTGCACCTGGGGATCCCATATTAGTTCCTACCCCACTGTATGCTCAGCCCATACTAGTGTCCATCACTGTGCCTTACTACTCCCCTATTAGGCCCATTGCAGCATCTGCTTCTGTGGGTTAACCAAGCGCCCTGGGAGAGTCTAGGCTTATTCAGGTAGGGTGAGGCCACTCACTAGCTCGTCCTCGTCTACACAGTAATAGATGAATTCAGCAGGTGGCGAGGGGGCCAGGGCTCTGGGGTGCTGCAGAGGCAAACGGGGTGGGGTCAGGGCAGGTAGTTGGTGAGGTTACGGTTGTGCCGTCCCCCTGCCCACCAGGGCCTCACCAGCTCTGGAGACTCTGGAGGCTGCGGTGGAGGAGGTGGAGGCAGAGGCGGTGACTGGGCTCGGGGTGGACGCCGCCGGGGCACCACCTTGGAGTCGCAGCCTCCCCTGCGGCGGCCATGTTTACCCTGAGAGAAAGGCAGAAGGCAAGTTCAGGCTTGGTGGCACAGGCAGACAGAAAGCATGCGAGGGGAACAGGCAGGCAGAGTGTGGGCTGGGGCACTCACAGCAGGGGGAGCCACAGCGAGGGGAGGGCGTCGTTGACATCGCTGATGGTGGCGACGGAGGCGGTGAGCAAGGTGCTGGCAGACAGGGGCAGGCAGGTGGAGCCAGAGAGGTGAGTGTGAGGTGGGCGAGAAAAGAAGACATGAGGTGGGCAAGGCCAGTTGGAAAGAAGGAAGCAGGAGCAGCTTTAACAGCAGAGTAAGCTCTGCCCCAGCCCCCACCTGCACCCCCCACTCTGACTTACCCGGAGGCAGCGCCGCTGGACGCACTTCCACTGGCGCCGGAGCCCGGGGCGGGGAGGGCGAAGGCAGACTCGACAGCGGCCACAGTCCTCTCGGGTCTGACAGCCCCGGCACACGCCACACCCTCGGCTCTGTGGGGGCCGGAGGTGTGAAGCGTGGGGCCAGGGGTGAGGGCCAGGAGCATGGGTGAGCTTTGGGCCCACCCCACCTGCCTGACTCACCCTTTCCACAATGCGGAGGCACCGTCTTCGCTCACACTTGCAGAACAGCCCCGAGGCCACATCGCGGGGCAGCTGCAGGAGGCAGGTGGAGCAGGCCCCGCAGTCTTCCTTCACCTGGCAGGCCGTGCACTCCCCACAGCCCACACGCTGCCAGGAATGGTGGGGCAAGGTCACGGGTCCAGGCGGAGCGGCTCCAGGAGCACCGCCCCTCACGTGTCTGCTGACCCCACATTAACCCTCATCACCACGTCTTCAGGTCCCCGTCTGCCTCATCGCTGTGGGTAACTAGGGATGAGCCGCCACCACCACTGCAGCCGGAAACGCCGTCTACTCCCCCGTGACCCTGACCAATGTCGACTGACCAACTTCCATCACTGTCGACTGCCTGCAGCTGGCTCCCTACAAAATGACCCTGACACCGTGGGTCCATCACTGTTCCTTCGGACACTGGACTCTGACCCGCCGCCATCACATCCTGCTCCCACCGCACACTTGTGAGGAGGAAGTAGGCTGTGCTTACCTTAAACATCCTCTGCTCCCGATTGAAAGCGATTCTCTGTGCTATAGGGAGGGAGAAAGAAATGTTAAAGGAGCATCAGGTACCTGACCTCATGACTCCCTCTGGTCTGTCACCTACCATCAGCCTCTAGCCAGGTAACTGTGTGTCAGGCTGACACCTAGGCTGCTCCAGCTCTACCTCCCAGTGCCCCAGGGGCTGCTCACCTCGGCAGTCCTTGCACAAAGTCTTGAGCCGCTGCCTTCGGGTACCATCTCCTGAAAAGCTGATTCCACAGTTCTCACAGCACCTAGGATGGGAAACGTGGGTGTGGGGCCCTGAGTGTACACCCAACCACAACCCTCACGGACTTGACTCTAGCCCAACACTCACCCAGGTGCAGGAAGTGAAGCTGGGACTGTGTCAGTGTCAGCCTTGGTGTCATCCCTTGGTGCCTCCTTCCTGACTTCACTCTTCTGAGGTCCAACCTGACACTTCCGAGCCTTGGCTGGCTTCGAAGGCTTCTTCCGCTTCCTGCTGGTGATGGCCAAGGAATGAGCCTGGAAATGAGAGCAAGGGCAGGAAGGACGGAGACCCGTGGGTGGGTGTCAGAGGAGGCTCAGCACCTGTGCCCAAGTACTCCACACCGTACAGTACCTTGGGGGATGGATAGCAGAGGACGCCTTGTTTGAAGTCAAAGAGGGTGAGATCACATGCAGGGCCCAGGTATCGGGTCAGCTCAACTTTGCTTCGGATCCTGTCTCCTGTGGGGCTGAGGATGGGCCAGGACAGGTTGGTACCTAGCTGGAGCCACTGCCACTCCACCCATACGACCCTCCCACAGGGCTGATGACCAGGCCTGTAGAGCTGGTGGGATACAGGAAGCAGCCTGGGATCAACCTATGAACCCCAACAAAGAAACTACCCCAAGTAACTCCAAACAGCAGGAATATAGAAGGTGTACAAATGCCAGCATGTAGACAAACATTAATAAATAATACAAATGTAAATAGATGTGCACAGATTTATAATGTGTGCTACTACTGGTATTTCACATAAGTGAAAGGAAATACAAATAGCAACACAAATAAATTAAATAACATACATGTATTAGCATTATATACTACATACACAAAATTTATACAAGGAAAAAACATGTTTTAAACATAGCTGGCTCCTGAACAACACATGTATAAACTGCACAGGTTCACTTACACATAAATTTTTTTTCAATAAATATATTGAAAAACTTTTTGGAGATTTGTGGCTATTTAAAACAATTCGATGAATCATGTGGTCTAGAGATATTGAAAAAATTAAGAAAAAGGTGTGTCATGAATGTATAAAATATATGTAGATACTAGCTATTTTATCATTTACCACCATAAGATATATATATGAAGTCTACTATAAAAAGTTAAAATTTACCAAAATATGTACACAAATACTTAACATCATATGTGGCACCATTTGCAGTCAAGAAAAACATAAACAGAAGATGCAGTATTACATCATAACTGCACAAAATTAACTGTAGCACATATCATACTACTATAATCATCTCACAGCTACCTCCTGTTGCTGCTGCAGTGAGCTCAGGTGTTGCAAGTATTTACTTTAAATGGCATGGAAGTCTAATCATCTGAGTGAGAAGTTTGTTTCTCCATAAAATTGAGCATCACAGTAGAAAGTGACCTCTTGCAGTGGTTTTTCTCACGTCATTTTCATCATATTTAGTGCAATACTGTAAGCTTTTAATAACACCAAGGGACCCGTAACAAAGTGTCACTTGTGATATTGGAAGTGCTCCCAAGAAGCAGAGAAACGTCGTAACATTACAGGAAAAAGCTGAATAGCTTGACATGTACCATAGATTGAGGTCTGCAGCTGTGGTTGCCCGCCAATTCAAGATTAATGAATCCAGTATAAAGTGAAAATGAAAGTGTTAGTCACTCAGTCGTGTCCGACTCTTTGTGACCCCATGGACTACAGCACACAAGGCTCTCCTGTCCATGGAATTCTTCAGACAAGAATACTGGAGTGGGTTGCCATTTCCTTCTCCAGGGGATCTTCCTGACCCAGGGATGGAACCTGGGTCTCCTGCATTGCAGGCAGACTCTACCATCTGAGCCACCAGGGAAGCCATCCACAGTTAAGGACTATCATTAAAAAAAAAAAAGGAAGAAAAACAAAGGGAATTCAGGCACTGTTGCTGCAACTATGCCAGCAGCTCGAAAACCTTGTACTTTTTGCAAAATATGTTTTTATCTTGTACTGAAAATGCAGCTTTTATGTGGATGCCTGATTGCTATAAGAAAGTCATACCTATAAATTATAACAAGATTTGAGAAAAAGTCAAGTCATTATATGACAATTTAAAGCAAAAGGAAGGCGAAGGCTCTAAAACTGGGTAATTCAATGCCAGCAAAGGATAGTTTGGCTTAACAAAAGTCAAGATAACAGAAAAAGCGGCTTCTGCTAACCAGGAGACAGCAGACAAGTTCCCAGACGCCACTAAGAAAATCACTGAGGAAAAAGGCTATCTGCCTGAACAAAGTTTTAATGGAGATGAAAGTATCGTATTCTGAAAAGAGGAAAAAAAAAAAAAAAAACGGTGCAAAGGACATTTATTAGTAAGAGAGAGAAGTGAGCACCAGGATTTAAGGCAGGAAGCGATAAAATAACTCTACTGTTTTGTGCAAATGCAGTCAGGTTTACGATCAAGACTGCCCTTATTAATAAAGCTGTTAACCCTCAAGCCTTGAAGGGAAAAGATAAACACCAGCTGCCAGTCTTTTGGTTGTACAAGAAAGTCTTGACAGTGAGAACCATTTTTTTTAAATGGTTCCATTGATGCTCTGTCAGGAGGTACCTCACCTGTTAAGGGACAGATTTTAAAGTTTTTTTTATATTGGGCAATGCCCTGCCCACTCAGAACCCCATGAATTCAACAGCAAAGGTGTTGAAGTGGTTTGTTTGCCCCCAAACACAATGTCTAATCCAGCCTCTAGATCAGAGGGTTATAAAGGACCTTGATGGCTCCTTACACGCAGAACTCTATGGAAAGAATTGACAACACTATCGAGTCTTCAAAGACAGAACATCCTAAAAGTCTGGAAAGATTACACCATTGAAGATGCCATCATCCTTACAGAAAAGAGTATGAAAGTCATCAAGCGCAAAACAATAACTTCCTGCTAGAGCAAACTGTGTCCAGATGTTGTGCATGACTTCCCAGAATTTAAAGCGAAGTTAATCAAGGAGATCATGAAAGAGACTGTGGACATGGCAAAAGTCAGGGAGAGGATGAAGAGTTTCAAGACATCGATCTTGGACTCAAGAGCTAACAGACATCACACCAGAGGAATTAACACAAGACAACTTGATAGAGATGACTGCTGCTGAACCAGTACCTCATAATGAGGAAGATGAAGGAAGAGTGCCAGAAAAAAACTGACATTAGACAATCTAGCAGAAGGGTTCTGATATTCAAGACCACTTTTTATTTTATATGACATGGGCACTGAAATTAAAGCAAACAGAGGAAGAAAGATTGAGACAATGTAGAAACATTTCTGGAGAACTGAAAAAGCAAAAAAAATTCAGAGAGAAATTACAGTGCATTTCTATAAAGTTATACCAAGCGTCTCTGCCTCTCCTGCCTACCCCCACCTCCTCCTCCTTTTGCCTCTGCCACCCCTCCTCAGCAAGACAAAACCCCCTTTCTCTTCCTCCTCAGCCTACTCAACATGAAGATGACAAAGATGAAAACCTTTATGATGATCCACTTCCACTTAATAAATAGTAAATAATGACTAGGCTGTACAGTTAATACTTATCTATCGTGTTTGTGGGTGAGTGTCCTTGTGTGAAGATCTAACAATTGTAAGGCAAGAACTATATGAGAATTTCCCTGGCGGTCCAGTGGTTAAGAATCTGCCTGCCAATGCAGGGGACTTGGGTTTTGATTCCTTGTCCAGGAAAATTCCACATGCCGTGGGGCAACTAAGCCCATGCGTTGTAACTACTGAAGCCCAGGTACCTATAGCGTGTGCTCTGCAACAAGAGAAGCTACCACAATGAGAAGTCCATGCCAGCAACAAACAGTGGCCCTCACTTGCCACAACAACAAAAGCCCCCGAGCAGCAACCAAGACCCAGCACAACCAAAACAAAAGAACTGTATGAGACATTTCTGTGTCACCATCATCATCACTGCCCAAGTATTCATCTATGCAAGACTCAAAATGGATAGCCTATCTTTATTCAGGCATTTATAGGTGAGTGGCATTTAATATAAAATTAATACTGTGTTAGCTTTCTTACTGTTTTATAACTATGTTTTCAAAGAATTACATTACCATACAGTATGCCTCGCTACCTGGTTAATTAAAGAAACTGCCTATCATCACAGGTAAGTGGCTTGAAAAAAACAAAAAAAAATACAACAATGTAACAACACTGTATCATGAATATGATTACAATACTGTGTGCCATAAAAACTTTATAACAATTTATTCATTAGTGTACAGGCTAGGCTACCAGAAGGCAACAATATTGCTCCTTCTCAGTTATCAATGCATGAATTGTTATACCTGTAAATAAACATAAATTTTTCATATTGTTTTCATTTTTTATATATGATATTAGTAATATGTATAAGATCTACAATGCCTTGTATCATATAAGATAATATCCCTGTAGGCACTTGACAGGCAACTTATCCTGTAAACAGATGATGTAAATTTAATGTATTGCTTAAATACAGTACAGTGCTGTGAATGAACTTTTTCTTCCTTATGATTTTCTCCTTTTTGGGCTGCACCACTCAGTCTATGGGATCTCAGTTCCCCAAACAAGGACTGAACCTGGGCCACAGCAGTGAAAGTGTGGAATCCTAACCACTAGGCAACCAAGGAACTCCCACATGATTTTCTTTAATCTGTTCTCTAGCTTATTTTCCCACAAGAATACAGTATATAACACATACAACATACAAAGTATGTGTTAGCCAACGATTTGTTATTGATAAGGCTTCCAGTCAACAGTAGGCTATTAGTAGTTAAGCTTTTAAGGAGTCAAAAGTTAAATTTTTGACTGCACAGGGGATGGGCTCCCTAATCCCTACATGGTTCAAGGGGCAAGTGTATATGTACAAACAATATACATACTAGTGTAAACAAATAAATGCAACTACATACAAAACAAAGCATAAGTTACTGATGTTGGGAGATAATACTCCACAGATCACTCACATTTTTGCATGTCTTGCAAGAGAGGCACTGACTACCCTTTGCAACGAGCTATCTTTTCAAGGATGTGTGTACAACATCAGCCTTGGAAGATAAGAGAGGGTGTTCTTCCAGAGCAAGGGAAGGCATCCTTACTGTCCTAACATAATTAAAGATTAGATTCCTTAAGCTCGGAGTTCCTTTCCTACAACAGTGTATGCGCAGATGCTAATTAAGTAGCCCTCCTCATGTCACCCTGTGGGAATTGGCATTTGGGGAACTGGCACAAGAATGATGACATACCGGATACTGCTGATGCAGTGAGTAATAAACTGTCTTTCACCTCTGACCTCGGGGTCCCATATCTCCTACTGGCCTCCCAAAACTGAAACACACTCACTTGCCCTAATTTGGGTAAAACCTCTGGCCTCTTCTATTATTAATCACTGCACTTATTTTGAAAGTTTTATAAAAACTGTAAATATGTGAATAACTGTACAATATAGACAAAATTATATTTATTTATAAGCATAATAATAAATGTAATTCTAATTACAATTTTACTGTATTCCTCTAAGCAAACAGCAACTTACACACAAAAAAGTTTAGAAAATTTAATAACTACATGACTAACATATTCTAAAGGACCTCAAATCCTTAAACGTAACTTTGTAAACACATATTTTCATGTATTTATAGTCAATTCTCATTATTCACAGTAATTCTGTTCTATAAAGTCACTTTAAACACTGAATTAGTGAGCACAGAATCACTGCTCCTAGAGGGACTACAGGTCAAGTTCCTGTAAGCCTCTGGTCACATTTTTGTCAAGCAATCAGTATATAACCTTGTTTTATGTGTGTTTCTGTTTAAAGACACCTTACTTAATACAGTCCTCTTACAAATAATTAACTACATGGCCTTTGAATGATTTAAAACTAGGAGTTTTGGAAGCCATCTGTGTTACACAGGCTCCTTTGTCAATATCCTTGTAAACCAAGCCAGCCTCATCAGCATTGAAAACCTACTCTTCCTCATAACTCTTTGCCTATACAGCAACGTATCAGGTGTTTTTTAAAATTCTTCCACGGACTCTTATCTGCAGAACCTGCCTCACTTGAAAATTTAACACTTTTCACGGAGTATCACCTTTGGAAACGTGCGAGCTAGCCAGCACCAGCTGAAACTGGCTTACCGTTTCTGTAACCCTGGGAACATCACAGCCGATGTCCTTTGCTTCTGGCTTCACCACACTGTCCACAAAACTCTGGTCACCATCTCACGGAACCACAGATTTAGCCTCTTTTCCATCTTTTCCTTAGCTTTATCATGTACTATAGACGTTACTTGAGCACTTCCTGGAGCAGCCTTACCTACTAATTAGCTAATTTCCTCTTCTTTTTCTAGATATACTGCCTTTTTGATTCATTAACATTGAACTCACAGCCAAAAGCACTGCAACTCATGCCTGAACGAAGCTTATTTAACATGCATTTTCTCCATATGGCACAGAACAGACTTCCTGCACTTGGATCACTGGACAGCACTTCAACACTAAACTCAGGGCAACTCTGCAGAGCAAAACCACCACTCAAAAGTGCAGAAAACAGGACACAAAGTAGCCCTCAAAAAGGACACTTGTTTACAGCATAAGAGCTAATGTAAGAAATCTTCATTCAATCTTGGCTGGGAACACATGCATCAGGCGACCTATTTTTTGCCGCTCTGTGCATATCCACAAAAGATCGTGAAAACACAGTGGGTATGACTTCGGGGGTACAAAGAACAAATCTTAGTGAGTAACCAAATCGTCAAATATGGAACCTGCAGATAATAAGGATCAACCGTACATGCATAATTTAATTACCCATAAATGTAATCACACAGCCCCGATTTCACCCTGCCTAACCAGGTTCAGTCCTAACCCCTTTGTCCACAACCCACCCAGTACCTCTGGTAGTAGGTGTCTGAGCGTCCGCAGGTGGCACCTGACTTGCGAAAAACCTCACGGCGCTTCCAGCCGGGGCCCAGGGCTGGGCAGTCCAGCCAGTCCTCAGCCATGGGGACCACGGGAAGCAGCAGCGGCCTGCAACATGGAAGGGGCAGTGGGAAAAACTGAGGCTTTAGAAAGGGACATGTTGTGCGACACAAACCTGTTTCTATTCATGCTTGTTTAAGACCTAGGACCTGCCACAAGCCACTGGCCAACTTAAGGAAGGGTAAAGCCCCATTTCCACTTCGTTCTTCTCTATCCTGAGCCCAGGAGCTTGTCATCACCCCCGCCCGCTTCTTGATCTGGCAGCCTTATCCTCAACCCAAGGGTCCCCATCCTCAACGCATTCCTCACTCTCACCGTCCTAATCCCCAGTTCCTCCCGAGCCTCAGCCAGAGAGACCGCATTCCTCACAACTCTAGTGCGAGAGGCCCCCCGACAGGACTCGACTACCTCAGTACCCTAACCTCCCATTCATTCCTTTCCTTGATCCAAGGGTCACTAATTTTCTTTTTTAACCCTTCCATTCCTTTCCTGTCTGCCGTCCTCTTATCCTTCTACCTCAGTATTACTGCCTCCATTTCCCGTATCCTCTGCCAAAGAACCCCCAGCTCCTCTGCATCCTTGACCTGAACAGCCCCTCATTCCCTTCGTACCCTACTTCGAATGCCTCCCCATCTCACTTTCGCTCTGTCAGTGTTTTGAATCACAATTGCTTCCCAAGTCTCCGAACCCTCCCTATTTCCCTCTTCTGCAGTTAACAAGTTTTCTTTGGCGGCCTCACCCTCCGTTCCTCTCATCAGCTTCAGACACCCTGATTTCTTCCTTCAGCATCTGAACCCCCCACCCCATTCCTCTCTTGGTCCAACACCAAGCCATCCCTAACTGTTGGTGTTCTGACCCCCCTATGTCTCATCGTCCTCCATGTGAGACGCCCGTCCCTCCCTTTCAGCATTCCAACTCCTCATTTCTCCCCGTCATCAGCCCGAGGGCCGCTCATTTCTTCCCTTTAGCATCCTGGACCCCCATTTCGCTCTCCTTAACCCGAGAGGCCCCGCTATCTCCCCTCTGCGTTCGGGTCCTCCCCATGCCTCTCCGTCCTTGTCCAAGAGCCCGACACTTCCACCTGTCAGCCTTCGGAGCCCCCAGCCCTCCCTGTCCTCCGCTTAAATCTTCCCAAGCCTCCCTTCAATATTCAGAGGCCGCCATTCCTCCCACTCATCGGCCCGAGGGCCCTTCATTGCTTTCCGTCAGCGTTCTGAGCCTCAATCCTTCCCAATTCTCCGCCTGAGCGGTCTCCATTTCTACCCCCCTTGACCGTCTCACCAGCTCGTCTCCCGGCCGGTACCTTCCACCGTTCTAGGTCCGCGGACCCATGGCGAGAATCCCGCCCGTGGCTCCCGCCTTCTCCGTCTCCTCGCCTTCCTCCCCCGCAGCCGCTTCCTCTGAAGCTGTAGCTGTCGCCGCCGCGGCCGTTCGTTGCTCCAGGAACCGGAAATCCGCTGTCCCTCTCTCGGGCTCCGCCCCCTGGCGGGACGCCTGCGCGCTAATACCTCGGAACGTGGGTCGTGAGCAGAAAAAGTCCACGCCTGCGTGTTGACTCCGGCGGAGGAGCACGCCCCTTTAGACGGGGCCTGCTGCGCTTGCGCACTGACGTCCAAAGAGGCTCGCGCCTCTTTAGAAAGCTGCAGGGCTTGCGCACCTCGCTAGTGCTCCTCCGCCCAGCTTGTGGTCACGTGTGCTTTCCTAGCCAAGCCTGAGGGGAGGAGGAGGAGTGGGATTCGATTTAGTCTCTTATTGGAGGTCCCCACAGGAGGTAACTGGGAGGGAGGGGCGGAAAAGGCTGGGTCTGTAAGCCCTTTTCGCCCACTTTGTAACCTTGTTTGCGCATGTGCTTTACCGTTCCTCCTGTCAAGGAAAAATGAATCAGTAGTCGGTATGAAGAAGAAATAGGAGATTTTATTTGCGCCAGCCTGAGGGCTCTAAACTTAAAGACAGTGTTTCGGAAAACTCTATGGATTGTTCCACTTGTTTTCATTGGAAGACAGTTATATACATTTTTGAGTCGGAGGATATAGATACCTATATCACAGTGACACATTTTACTTAAAGTTCGGAAGAGATACTGTGTGGCTGGGCCACACTGACTCCGTGTTTTTCAGCTCCGCTGTAGGACTAAGACCCACAGTTCCACCGCTTCCCTTTTCTGGATGATTGAGCTTTAGCCTACTCACAAGGAATGCGCCCTGCCAGAGAAGCTCAGTATCAACTTTTACCCTTGCTTTCATCTATTAGGAAAATTGAAGAATGCCTTTTGCTGATGCAGACGGTTAATGATTTTTGAGGAATAAAAGTTGTGAGACCCCTGGGGGAGGGGAAAACAAAAAATCTGGTTCCCGTTGGCATGGATGTGCTTCTTCGTTAGTACTGAAACCAAGGGCTAACCTGAGAAGACCCGCCAAACCTAACCTGCCATGCTTACTTTCAGTTGCTTGCTTTTAGTTGATTTTAAACTAAACTTCCACCAGCTTCCTTATATGTAATACCTCTGACATGTGGATCACTGTAGTTAACAGTTGCTTAAGTTGTTTTTCAGTAACATGGAGCTGGTTCTTGGCCAGTTCAGACCACTTGAGACTACCAACTATCCACTGGGCCTGCGTAAGTGTCAGATGGATGATGTTTTAGCATCACAGGGTGAAAAACTCCACCCTCAGAACATAACATTGCCATTTTATGAACACGTCTTCTTTGAAGAGCCATAAAGCTTGACTATACCACTCTAATTACCTCACTTTCCTTACTTCCAATCAACTTTGGCCTTGATCAGACCTCCCTGCCTCTTTATCTCATAAATGTTCCTAAAACCTATCTTCAAAAGAAGATGCTTAAAAAAAAAAAAGATGCTACACATGGACATCACTGAATGGTCCATACTGAAATCAGACTGAGTGTATTATTTGCAGCCAAAGTTGGAGAAACTCTATACAGTCAGTAAAAAGAAGACTGGGAGCTGACTGTGGTTCAGATGATGAACTCCCTATTGCAAAATTCAGATATAAATTGAAAAAACTACAGAAAACCACTAGACCATTCAGGTATGACCTACATCAAATCCCTTATGCTTATACGCCAGGAGTGACAAATAGGTTCAAGGGATTCGATCTGAGAGAGCACCTGAAAAGCTATGGACAGAGGTTTGCAACTTTGTACAGGCAACTGTGATCAAACCATCCCCAAGAAGAAGAAATGTAAGAAAGCAAAATGGTTATCTGAGGAGGCCTTACAAATTGATGAGAAAAGAAGAGAAGCAAAAGACAAGGAGAAAAGGAAAGATATAGCCATCTGAATACAGAGTTCCAAAGAGTAGCAAGGAGAGATGAGCAAGACTTCCTAAGTGAACAATGCAAAGAAATAGATGAAAACAACAGAATGGGAAAGACTAGAGATCTCTTGAAGAAAATTAGAGCTCTCCTCAAGAAAATCATCTGCCAGAGGCATTCCAAGAGCTCAAGAAAAACCTTGTGCCACAACAGGAAGCCCCACAGAACCTGAGCCAGACCTGTCTTTGAGCGTTTGAGTGTCTCCTCCAGAGGTACGGGTCAGCAGTGGCCTGCTGCAGGGGCTCTAGGTGCAGCAGACCTGGATATGGCATAAGCCCTATTGGAGGAGGTTGCCATTAACCCCACCATAGAGCCACCAGAATGTACATAAGATGGGGGAAACAGACTCTTGGAGGGCACAAACAAAAGTTTGAGTGCACCAGGACCCAGGAGAAAGCAGCAGTGACTCCACAAGAGACTGACCCAGACTTGCCCAGGAGTGTCCGGTGGAGGCATGGGTGGCCTGATGCAGAGTCAGGTGCACTGAGTGTGTCAGTGCCTGCACCAGACCTTTTGAAGGAGGTCCCATTATCTTCATTGTCTCCACCATAGTTTGGCCTCAGGTCAAACAACAGGGAGGGAATGCAGCCCCGCCCATCAACAGAAAATTGGATTTAAGATTTACTGAGCATGGCCCTGCCCATCAGAGCAAGACCCAGTTTCCCTCTCAGTCAGTCTCTCCCATCAAGAAGCCTCCATAAGCCTCCTTCTTATCCCTCAGAGGGCAGACAAAATGTAACCCACAATCACAGAAAACTAATCAAACTGATCACATGGACCACAGCCTTGTCTAACTCAATGAAACTATGAGCCATGCCATGTAGGGCCACCCAAAACAGACAGGTCATGGTGGAGAATTCTGACAAACCGTGGTCCACTGGAGAAGGGAATGGGAAACCACTTCACTATTCTTGCCTTGAAAACCTCATGAACAGAATGAAAAGGCAAAATATAAGACACTGAAATATGAACTCCCCAGGTTGGTAGGTGCCCAATATGCTACTGGAGAAGAGTGGAGAAATAACTCCAGAAAGAATGATGAGATGGAGCCAAAGCAAAAACAATACCCAGTTGTGGATGTGACTGGTGATGGAAGTAAAATCTGATGCTATAAAGAACAATATTGGATAGGAACCTGAAATGTTAGGCCGATGAATCAAGGTAAATTGGAAGTGGTCAAACAGGAGATGGCAAGAGTCAACATCAACATTTTAGGAATCAGTGAACAAAAATGGACTGGAAGGGTGAATTTAACTTGGATGACCATTATGTCTTCTACTGTGGGCAAGAAACCGTTAGAAGAAATGGAGTAGCCTTCATAGTCAACAGAAGAGTCTGAAATGCAGTACTTAGGTGCAATCTCAAAAATGACAGGATGATCTCTCTTCATTTCCAAGGCAAACCATTCAATATCACAGTAATCCAAGTCTATGTCCCAACCAGTAATGCTTAAGAAGCTGAAGTTGAAGAGTTCTATGAAGACCTGCAAGACCTTCTAGAAGTAACACACACACATAAAGATGCCCTTTTCATCCTTGGGGACTAGAATGCAAAAGTAGGAAGTCAGGAGATACCTGGAGTAACAGGCAAGTTTGACCTTGGAGTACAAAATGAAGCAGGGCAAATGCTCACAATTTTGCCAAGAGAATGCACTGGTAATAGCAAACCACCCAAAGAGAAACAAC